GTAAAGAATTTTTTTACAAATTATAAACATTTTAAAGTTTTTTTTTTTTAATTTAAGTGCCCCTGTAGCGTTTCTCTAATTTGATTCTATAGCTTTTTATGACAACTTTCTTATTTCTTTTCGTTCTTTTAATTTTATTTCCTTTCCGAAGTTTTAATGCCAGATAAAAATTTTGGAAAGTTAAATTTTCAAAATTGCTTTTTAATTCGATGTCAGATTGAGAAATAAATTTTAGTTCCACGTGTTAACAACCAGAAAGAACTTTTTGTCAAAGTTGCTTCACTAGCAATTTTTATTTGTGCTGTGTGTGAAACTGATCGCGAGTTTTTGAGATGCAATAACGGATAATTTACATAAAATATCAGAAATGTTTTTAATTAATTATTTTGCGGTATATAATTACTTATGTAATTTTTATTCTAAAAAGTTCGGGTTCGGTTCGGATTTGGCCGAACCTCAAGAAAAAAAAACCGAGTGTTCGGTTCGGGTTCGGTTTCGGCCAAAAACTCGAGTTCTCACTTACCAATTCGGCTAGCATTTATTACTTAAGTTTGTTTTTGTCAGATCACCTTGGCCATAATGATCCTCAGTGAAATTTTTTTAAATTTTACTACTTTGGCGTTGACATTTTTGTAAACTTATTTTGCAGTTTCTGTGATTTCTTAGCGCTGTCAAGCGCACAACGCTACTCGATTTTTCTTTAAATGCCACTATTGTTTTCTTGTCATACGCGCATCCTTACTGATCGCGCAAAGAGCAACGCATACATATACATATTTACATACTAACTTACTTTGTTCGCAAACAACCAGCGCGTTTGAGGCTTGTAATCGCGCATCCACCATTTCAGCCAGTTGTCATGCCAATTTGCGTTTGTCCGCCTGCCGCTCCACAGACGCAGAAGTGAATCAGTCAACTGGAAGAGAAGGGCTAACTCATACACCTCCGACGCTCACCTCCTCCAGTGCGTGGCACTCAAACTGTCTACTTGACTTGCTAACCCAACATCCACTGCTACTACAGCAATCTTCTTTTGCATGTTGCTGAGCGTTATTTGCATGTTGCAACGCCATCACTATGACCATCGTCTTCTTGTTGTTTGCGTTTCTTTTCTTTTTTGCGTACACTATCGCTACACCATTCTACATTTGCTGATTATCTGCTGCGAAACAGGTGATCCGTCTTGTGTCTTCTGCCGGGCTGTCTGGCCTCTTTGTACTGCAATCCCTGCCAAGTTTGCTTATTTCCATTGTGCGCTGCATATTTTTTAACTTTTGCTTGTTTTGATTTGTCATTACTCACCGCCGGCTGCTGGCTAACTGCCTTGTTGGATATCGCAGTGCCTTTGACTTTGGATTGTGACTCGCTTCTCCTTTTGCACTTGACATTTGCATATGAGTTAAAGAAAAAAGCGCCAAAGTTGATTTATTTACATTTTCATTGATTTACTCAGCGCCACAGACGTGGCAGCGGCACAGTCAAGTGAGAAAATAAACAGGCTGGGGGCTCGCGAGGTTGTTTCTTTGGCTGAGTATATTCTTTAACAGCAAAAAATTGGATTCTCATTGCCAGTTGCACCGCATCGTCATACAAATGAATATGACGCGCTTATAATTGTCCACCCGACAAAAAGATGGTGTGGTGTGGTGGTGACGGCACTGAAGCGACAGCCCTACTCCACGGTGTCTCCTCCGCAAACGCATCGTTGGTCATTTCCCCACATAAATCGTGTTAAGCACGCCTTGGGCTTTGGAGTGTTTTCAGATTTGCTCTATAGCTTGCGGCTGCTTTATTCAATTCATTTTATCATCATTTCCTCTTACTGCTCTCCCCCTAAGCACCGCAACCACTGCTCTAACCACTTTATTTGTGTTACATTTTCAATTTCTTTCGCTTGCCACTTTTATCTAAAATTAAAATTGATTTTAATGAAGTAGCTCGTTATGCTGGTTTTTGACGCGCTATTGTTAGCTGCCTATCATAGCTGGAGTGTAGCAGCAAGCAAACAACTTTGACAACTATAACAACAACAAAATGATCCAATTTTATTTGTGGCACTCCACTTAATGAGCACTTCAGCTGCTTGAACAGCATTTTCTGTGAGTAACCCGCTAGGCGCTTGCGCGCGCGCCTCTTTTGTCGTTGAAAGCATTGCAAATATGAGATATATGCGTATGCGCATTCGCGCGCGCATGTATGTTTAATTGCAATTTGTTGCGCCACAAACAAATCTATTTGCAATACTTTCCAAATTGCTGTCGTTGAAGATTTTTGACATTCATTTGCGCTTTTATATCTGAGCGCCCGCCGCACGCTTAGTAAGCAAGCAAAACAGCGAGCTGCTCCAGTCATTTGACTAAATTTCGCAAATTTTTTCGCAAGTGGGTCAAGAGTTGTGTTGCTTTGGCAAAAAAAAAAGTATATTATAAAGCATGAAGAAAGCGTTGCGCTCATTAATTTGTATTTTAAAAAGTTTCCTTTATACATTTTCGTATTTCAAAGTTACTCGACCATGGCAGCAAACTACTAAGTGATCTGCAAATTCCCACCTACAATACGAACGAAACAAAGTAAAAGTCCTCTTCCACTCTTCCGCTTCATGCGAAAGCGCCAACGCAGATTCACTTGCCATCGGCTGATCACCGCATCAACAACAACAAAAGTAAGTGACAAGCGCGCGCACGTCTGTCAGTCGCAAATCAAACTACAGTACAACTTCAACATCAACTCAAATCAACTAAAAGCAAGGAAGAGCAGCGCATATACATACAAACAAGTTATAATATTTGTAGCGTGGTGTGAGTGTCACCAGCATTGCCACAAGCAACAGCAACAGAAATGCAAGCGCAAGTCAAGCGATCGTTTGATCAGCAAAGAAAAGATCTGTGCGATCACCAAACGATTGCGCTCGCCAACTCTACAGCCTTGCCGGTTGACCAACCTTAGGCCAACTTGGCTAACTCGTCGTTGTTGTCACTGTTTTAACTGCTGAGTGACAGCCGCAGAGGCACACTGACGCATTGACTCGTTGACTGACTGGCATTCAGCGCGAACGTGCGCGCGCGCGGATACACCGACTCTGTTGACTACTTATTTTCATAGCCAAGTGCAGCGGGTGGCAGCAATAAAAAGCGCCTACATATACATACATATATAACAAATAAAATAAGTAACTAACTCCACTTGCAGTTGGGCATTTGGCGAAAGGTGACTCTCGTACGCAGTGCACCAGCTAAGCCAAGCACACCAATCGTGGTGATCTTTTAGTTAACTGATCGCGTAGTCCAGCGGCTATTGAATGCAAGCCACACGTAGCTAGTCTACGTGTTTTTAAGCGTAACTGGGCCTATGTTTATGCCTCGTCGCTGTGTTGGTTTGTGCTTGTATGCGCGCTTTTTATTTGCACTGTATCTTGAGCGCGTCACTTCCACATCCACTTTATTGCAACTTCAGGCTTGGAACGCTTTTGTGCATATCTGTTAGTCTGTCTTTCTGTTTGTCGCTCTTTGTCCGTCGTTCGTTCGTCCATCCATCCATCCATTTTCTGTGTGTGTTTATGGTGTGTGACCATTTTTGCAAATTATTTCTCACGGCCAATAAGCACATGCATGGCAAATGCACAAAAAACTACGTTCGGGCGCGCGCGCGCCCGCTCCCTCACAGACAATCACTTACTTACTTACTCAACGCAGCGCGCGCAACGCAACGCCAAGTAAGTTCCGACACTTGTCTCTGGTTTCTCCACTTCTACCGCCATGTCATCGTGGTGCGTCAGACAATTGTAGCCCAAACAAAAAAAGTGGAAGAAATACGCGCAAGTATGATCGCGTATGCGATTTGGTTTTGTAGAAGATGCGACAGAGCGCCGCGAGAACAAAGAACGTATTCGGTGAAGAGGAAAGAAGAAAATAATTTAATTTAATAATTACAATAATAGTGCAGAGCGCAATGTGCCAAACCCTGCAACGGCGCGTGAATGCGAAGGTTATAAAAAAGAAATTGTAAAGTAAAGAGAATCACCAAATATGCATTCGAATTTAAAAGCATTGACCACGCAGGTCCGCGAAATTTGTGGCAGCCGAAAAGGCATTTTATTATTTTTATTTTATTAATTTTTTTCGAACCTCCAACCTTCTTCGCGCTCTACAAGTCGCTCAAGGGATTCCTGTAAAACCAGCGATCACTTTAGTAGGCTTGTAGTTGTCCAGTACATGGTTACTTCTCGAACTTTTTCCCCTTTCTTGTTCGGTTGCTTGTTGTCTGTAGCGTCATGAATGAAAATTAAATGCAGCAACATGTTTGCGGCATACGTGCGAGAATTTTTAAAATAAGCAAGCACAGCCAATTTGTACAAAATGTTTCATACATTTTAACCGTACTTCTCTTTTCTGGAATGTCTTCATTTTTGTATTCAGCAATGTGTTGTAAGCAGCTTGTAAATTGGAGCACTCTTCGAAGCGGAATGCTCGAAAACTATAACTGCTTTTTGATCTTAAGCAGTTTAAAAATGCGCCGACTGTCAATTTGTTAAATGACCAAGTATTTACATACTTTCCGACTTTCGTTTTTTGTTTTTTGGATTTTTAAGCCGTGCGCCTATTTTGCGATTTACAGACGACATCGCTGGAATATTAGATTAGTAATTATATGAAATTTGCTTTAATAAATAAGGCCAACTCGTGAAGGGGTTTTGGTTTTCTTTTGTGGCGAAAGTTATCGAAGTCCTAAAAGTATCTACATATGTATACCTTAAAACTCAAATTCATTTTGGATACCTCAATAACTTATCCTCAAGGAATTTATTTTTATTTTTTGGCTCAGTAATATTTCTCACAATTAGTTAATACGCAAAACTCTTTTCCCACCTTAGCTTGTCTCAGCACCCTTACTCTCTCTCAGTTTTCTGCCACTTCTCCAATATTTAGCTTAGTCACATACCACTTTACTCGTATAACCAAATCACTAACATCTTTCTCTCTACTCGCTCTCTCTATTTACAGTTGTCAAACCGGCTGGAAGGGACCCCTGTGCAACGAATGCGAACCCTACCCGGGCTGCGTGCATGGTACCTGTAATAAACCTTGGAAATGCATCTGTAAGGAAGGCTGGGGTGGCTTACTCTGCAATCAGGATCTCAACTACTGTACAAATCATCGTCCTTGTCAAAATGGTGGCACCTGCTTCAATTCCGGTCCCGATCTATACACCTGCAAATGCCCACCGAACTTTATTGGCTCTGAGTGCCAGAATGAGATCACTTCGTGTAAGGAAGGCAATCCATGCCAGAATGGTGGCGCTTGCCTTGACGAGACTAGCACGCGCGGTTATAAATGCGAATGTCTGAAGGACTGGGGCGGTCCATTGTGCGAAGAGAAGGTGATCACTTGTCTGGATAAACCATGCCGTCACGGTACCTGCCGCAACTCCACAAAGGGGTTTCAATGCGACTGTCCGGGCGGCTACAGCGGCCGCGTATGTGAGCTGCACGTAGACAACTGTAATCCGAATCCCTGCCAGAATAGCGGGAGCTGCTTCATGACCTCTTCCGGTAATCACAAATGCCAATGTCGCAGCGGTTTTGCGGGCAGCATGTGCGAGCAGAACATCGACGACTGTCAAGGCAATCCATGTCACAATGGCGGCACCTGCATCGACATGATCAATCAGTTTCGTTGCCAATGCGTACCGGGCTACTTGGGCTCACTCTGTTCGGATAAGGTAGACTTGTGCTTAACTAAACCTTGCGCCAATGGCGGTACCTGCACGAACCTGAACAACGACTATAGGTGCACTTGTCGCGCTGGCTTCACCGGCAAAGATTGCTCAATTGACATTGATGAGTGCATGTCTGCGCCCTGTCGCAATGGTGGCACTTGCGTGAATCGCGTCAACAGTTTCCATTGCGTTTGCGCCCACGGATTTTGCGGTAAACAGTGTGAGGAGGAGTCTTACGCGTCGTACGAATCTCGTCCGTATCAGGCTGCGCCACAGGCGCGCAGTGACGGCTTGACATCTGGGCAGGTTTTTCTGATTGCCATACTCTCGGTGGCCATGCCAGTGGTGGCGGTGATCGCCGCTTGCGTAGTGGTTTGCATGAAACGCAAACGTAAGCGCGCACAGGAGAAGGACGATGCGGAGGCGCGCAAGCAGAACGAACAGAACGCAGTGGCGACGCTGCATCACAATTCGAATGGCGTTGGCGGTATGGGCGTGATGAGCGGTGTGGTAGGTGGCGTCGGTTTGGGTGTGAAACGAACTTCATCCTCTGGACTGGCATTCGACAATTCCAATCCGAACATCATCAAGAATACCTGGGATAAATCGGTTAACAACATTTCGGCTTCTGCAAGCACAGATGATTGCCTAAATACATCGCTATATGGCAGCGCGCTAGCCAACTATGCGGCGGACAACAACGCCAATTCGGAATACTGCGGTGTAGGCCAAATAGCGCCGCTGCAACGCGCCAAGTCACAGAAGCAACTCAACACCGATCCCACACTAATGCATCGCGCCTCACAGCTGTTGCACAGCGCCGCTAGTGCAGTAGCCGGTGTTAGTGCTGCTGCGGCGGCAGCAAATAGCGCCGCCAACGCTGGCCTTAGTGGGGTGAACGGCGCTAACGGCGCTGTTGGTGGTGGTGGCGGTGCAACCAAAGACTATGGCGTCCATGGCAGCAACGGCGGCAGTGGCGCTGAAGGCAAGCGCATCTCAGTGTTAGGTGAGAGCGCCTATTGCAGTCAGCGGTGGCCATCGTTGGCGACGGCAGGTATGAGTGGCGGCTGTGCGTCACAGATGATGGCTGCCTCGGCAGCGGCCGCGGCGGCGGGGAGTAGTGCGGCGGCGTCTGCTGCTCATCAGCAACAGCAGCAGGCGCGCGCCGTATTGTGTGGCACGCCGCATATGTGAACGTCACATGGCGGCGCAAGTGAGCAGTTTTTGGCTGTGGCGCCGAGCCTGGCAAACGTGCGCGGTTGCGCACGACAGCGTAATCGGCGAGTGCGCAGGATATTGGCGTGTTGGTGCGGGCACGCGTAACGTAAGCTGTTGAACATTTTTTGCTACGAAATTTCTTAACAAAAAACGAGCGATTCTTTGTAATTATAATTTAATATTTTTTTTTTTCATTTGTTCGTGTAAATGCTAAAATCTTTTTACAAGCGAAAATATGCTGCTTCTCTACCGATTCAATTATATACATACATACATAAATTTTTTCTGTAATTTTTCGCTGTTGAAATGGACTGACGTTGATAAGAAATTTATTGTAAAAAGCCGTATACATAACTAGAATTAATATTATGATATAAGTAAATAACTTGTGCGCAATTGTGAGGAGCGAACGACCGAACGAACGAACGCGTTAGTGAGTTGGCATACAAGCTGACATTTTAAGAAATTTCAAAACTAAAAAATTATGCTGTATGTTGTGTGCTTTGTAGAATTTGGAAAGAGAAAAAAGGACCTTAGCGTTAAACAAATTTTTTTAATTGTTAAAATTATTTGCTAAATTTAATATTTATTAAGCGAAAAGCATAAGAAATGACGCATTCCGCTAGTAGCAAACGACGAGTATTTTTGCATGACGCTGCCACGCATTTTTTTGCCGTTCAAGCGCGCAGGTATATATTTGGCGCTTACAAGTCTCCTTATTTATAGTGCGATTTTCTTTTTTTTTCCAAAAGAAAACTTGTCTTATTTCGCGTTTAGTGGAGTGCGCTGATTGCTGTGACGAATTTTCGAATTAAAAAAAAAACTAGTTATTAAACGCTAAAGTTTAAATGACAAAGCCGCTCTACTAAAAATGTATGAATTGTGTAAGACGAAAAAAATGCCTCGACATTTTAATTTATTGCATGCGACTTAAAAAAAAATAACTGTTTAGGTCTCACATATATAATTTTGTTAACAAACAAATTTTTGTGTATCCAACTGCCATTATTTCGAGGCACCTTTGCAAACATTTAGAAACTCGATCTTTTTCGCCGAAATTCCGCTGTTTAAAAAATTTATTTAAATTCCTGGACCAACTGCGTGCATTTTTAATTTTGTTTTTCGAAAACACTAAGAGCGCACTGGTGTCCACATTGACAAAAATTTGTTTTTGCTGTAAACAAATATTTAATTGACTTGTAAATATTAGTTTTAATTTTTTCGATATGCACTTTTGACTTGTGTTAATATATTTAACAAAGAAAATTTTCAATTTTTATGTGCGGTGTGTTTGTGTTCTGGAAGGCTTACAAATTTTGTGTTGAAATTTTTGGATAGAAAAATGTTGCTAACAAAAAAATTTATTCAAGAAAATTAAGCTAAACATTAAAATTTCTACGAATAAAATTAAAATTTAGGTGAATATATTTTTGAGTTTAAAAATAAACGATCTTTTTTAACTCAGAAATGTATTCGCATTTTGCTTCAATTTAATACTAGCTAGCAAAAAATTAAAACATTTTTTTTTTTTTATTTTAATGTTTTAATTTTTTTACTTTTAATTTTTAAATATGCTATACTATGCGTATACTTTTTCGTTTTTAGTTCCTAAATATTGTTTCTTGTCTAAATTTGTATCCTATCGTAAAAGTTTTGTAAAGTAAAAAAAACTATTTAAATTACAAATATTTTTCGATATATACTTATTTAATTGATTCAATAAATTTGTTTGATATAAAACATTATTTTGGCAAATAAATGTAACGTAAAAAACTACGACTTTTTGTCAAAATTTTAATATCTTTTGTATTATAATTTTTAGATTTATAATTTCTTCTTTCGGTAAATAAAAATTAAATTTTAGAATTTTTTAGTTAGATATTTCTAATTTAATATTTCTTCCTTTCCAAAAAAAATCTTTTCTTCCCCAAAAAAAAAAATCTTTTTACAAACAAAGCTTAGCAAAGAAAATACACTCTTTCAACTTAATTTTTGTAAATTAAATATAATTTTTTCTCTAAAAAGTAAGCATACATTTTCTTTTCATTAAATTTGTGCTTAGTTAAAACCTTTAAATCTAGTTATTTGGTTTTTCGAAATATGTATTAAAAATTTTTGCACACTTTTTAGCCTTACAGAACATATGAACGCACCCGCGCTCCTATCGCACTTTACGCACCTCTCATAGGTAATTAGTTAACATAGATATACATATTTATAAATTTATATTTTGTATGCCAATTTAGTTTAAATTTTATTTCTAAGAGTAAATAGAATAGACAAGCAAAGCAAACAAACAAACAGAAAACATAAATAAAGTGAAGACAAAAATTTTATGTAAAAAGGGCATTTGTTAGTGAAGCCCCTTATTTCTAAACTAACTCGAACTTATTTTCTACGCTATTTTTATTTTATACATGTATATTTAGTTAAAATATTACATAAACCCCGAAAGCAAACAACATTGTTTTAATCAAAAACAAATTTTTAAATTTTTTCTATTTTACAAAATAATTAAAAATTATAGAAAATTGCATTTACTTTTGACACTTTGGCATATCGCTGTATAAAACGAAAAGAAAAAAATGTATAAAAAAAAATTGTGGCTCACTTGAATTGTTTATTAAGATTTGATAAAAAGCTAATAAAATAATTTTTGGAAACAGCAAAAAATTTCTCGCAGTGTCACAAAGCCAGCTGATGTGTGAAAGACACTATTTCATGCATAAGCATACAAATACCCGCTCTGCTTGATTGTAATTTTTTAAAACAAGACATACATTTACTGTTTATTTAGAAATTTAATTTTTTTAAAAAGACAAAGCACAAATAGAACTGAAAAAAGAACACACAAAAACAAACAATGCATTGAATTTATTAATTTCTAGGCACAACTTGTTTGAAAAAAAGATAAAAAATATATTTTGAATTCTGCACAAAAATGTTATTTCGACGACCACAAAAAATATATTCTTAACTACAAGCAAGTGTGAACTTAAATTTATTGTGAAAAAACTGAAAACAAAGTCAGCGCTTCAAAGAAATGTATTGTGTAAAGAAAGTGTTACCAAATTTTTTTTTTTAAAGTTGAAAAAACACTAAAAAATATTGTAAATTTTGTGACGCGCCCAAACTGAAATATTTATTAAAAAGCACGAAACATAAAATGATATGTCAAAAACAAAAAATAAACAAAATGTGTTATTATTTTTATTTTTTTTTTCTAGCATAGCACAGTTGTAAAAAAAGTTGCTAATTTCTAGTGATGATCTCAAAAATTTTGCGCGCGGCTGCAATTTTTCGCGATTGCGCAAAGCACAAAAGAGGAAGGGAAGCACAATTTCTACGAATTTTCGGTTTCCTTGCTCGCGGCGGCAGGGAGGAACTGAAAATGCAAAATATTTTAAAATTTTAAGCAAACAATTTTTTTATAAAAAATTTAAATCGATTTGAGTGACTCAACTCTCAAGACATTGTTAGTTGGAGAAGTAGCATCAAATCTTCTCTTTACTGGGATTTTTTCCTTCGTCTTCAAAATTTCCGACAATGACGTCAGCGCCAGCAAATCTCAAGATATAGCAAATTTTGATTACATTTTTATTGTGTTTACTAAACGTATGTGTACTTAATTGTACAGTTACTCAAATACATGCGTTCACACGCTTTTCTGAATTAATTTTGAATTTAGCGAAAATGTACACACACGACGCAGCATGTCTCCGATAAAGACGAAAACATCAAATGATTAAAGAAATAAAAATAAATTGTGTAAAAATTAAACTATGCAACAAATTTATTGTAAAAAATGTTTAGCACAGTGTGAAAAGAGCGCAACAGGATGAGTTGAAATAATGGCAAAATGGTTCCTCGTTAGTTTTTAACCAATTTGTGAGAATTAGTTTTATGCAAGCAACCAAGAAAAATACAAAAAAAAAAAAACGAAGCATAAGAAGACATAAGATAAAATACAAAAAAAAATATTAAAAAAAAAGACAATTAAAAATCCATGTACATACCTAAAGAAACGGCTGCACGTAAGAAAAGTACACATATTTTATACAAATGTGTATAATAAAATAAAAATATATATGATTTTATATATGAAAATGCCGAAAATTTATATGAATATAGACTCAGCTGCATGGAGCAAGACTCACACAGGTAATAGTGAAAAAAATATAAAATTGCAAAAAAATCCAGGTTTTCTATTAATAAGTACATTACTTATCCATAAACTCTTCAACAAATTTTAAACGGCCTAACTTTTATATCCAAACATTTTAAAATTTTTTATTTCATTTATTTTTGTAGCCTTAATTTTTTTTTCTGGATTTTCTTCCTGAAATAGAAAAAAAAGCCTCGAAAGCATTGAAAGTTTCGAAACGTTGACTGAATGAACTGTCAAAATTTGCGTGGAATTTTTTACGAACTTTGAAATTTTTCAAATTTACAGAAGGGTTTACAATGCCAGCTTTAGAGCTGAGATTGACTATTTGGGAACCTTCTTTTGTTACAATGTTTAGCGTTTAGCTTTGAGAAAGTTTCACGTTCTAAATTAAATTAAATTAAACGTTTTAAAATTTTGAAAACTGATCAAATTTGCAGAGTTCAGTAAAATTTTCGAACTTTTCGATGGCTTTTTTGCTGGAATGTTCCTAATAATATATGAACGTATTTCGCGATAAAAAAGACATTTTCCGGTTGAAATTTTCTTATTTTTTTTAACGCTGTTCGATGGCTGCCGAAAACTTACATATTTTCAACAGTTTGCACCATGTCTGGTTAAATTTAACTTCCCGTTACATCATTGTCGACGTTATCGACTGCCTAGTTATGTGCATGTTATCGATAAAAAATAGTCGATGAGTTTACGGGAAGTTAAATTCCCCAGACATGGTGCAAACGACACTTAAAATATGTTGCTCAAGCATTTGCGGGCTCTTCATATACAATTTTTTTCTTGATAGCATTTTTGTTTGTTAAATTTTTTTATAAAAAAATTCTGAGTTTTTTATGTTAATTTTTTTGTTTTATTTTTCATTATTTCTTATGTTTTTTTTTGTTTTCGTATATTCTGTTAGTTCTTAGTTATTATTATTTTTAGGTATTTTTCGTTTATTTTATTTTATTTCACTTAAAACCTAATTTTTGCGAGTTTTTTCTTTATTATTTCTGAATTATTTTTTCGTTTACCTTATTTTAATTTCTTTTTCCATTTTTATTTTTTATTTTTTGTTTTTGATTATTCTTTATTTGTTTTATTTTCTTTAGTTCGGCCAGTTGTAGTGCTCTTAAATATTTCAAAACCTCTAAAAAATTTCATACCGATCTTTAACATTTAGTTTCTTATTCTTTTACTCGGGTTCCTATTTGAGTAGTGTCTAATCAATATTCCATTATACGTTAATTACAGTAGGAGCAAGAAACTAAAAACTAAAAAAAAAAAAAACGGAAAAAATATTTTAAAATTTTTTTGAAGTGAAATAGGCAGTTCTTCAAATATAGCTCATCTCGAAAAACAGCATCATTCTCAAACCAAAAAGAAAACTACAAATATTCCGGAAGTGGACATATCATATTTTGACAATATTTTTACTTTAATTTTTAACGCACTTTTTAAGATTTTTGTGTTCAACAAACTCTCAGCTACATTTTGTTTGTAGAAACTGTCTCTATTGACTACTTCTGGCTATAAAAATAATTTCCTCCATATTTTAGCAAACAATGTTTATGATAAAAAAGTAAAAAAAAAATTCAAATTCCATAAAAAACTGTGTGAGTTGTGAGAAAAGTGTGCAAAACTCTTCTTCCCGATTGCGCTTC